TTTCAGCCACGATTATAATTTATCATATGTCATTGATTAGGTACTTTATTACTTTTTTCATTTATTGAACACTAAAATTAAACATTGCGGTCAGCACATGCTCAACCAAGACCACCCACCCCCTAACATTGGCGGTGCAGTGTACAAAAAACAGTATACTCAAACTGCCTCTGAATCAAACATTATAATAGTATAATATGTTGTTATTATAATTGTTATGTTTTATATAATTTTAAATTATCTTGCAATTATTTTTAATATTACACTATATTTTCGTTAATGACAAATTTTCGCATTAAACGAAAGGATATCGAATTCTTTCCAATGCTGGCTATACAAAKGTTCGTTACAAAGTAATATAAAAGTTCGATAAGAATTTATGAATGAAACAATTTACAACTAAGTTTGAAACTTTTTCATGATGCTTAGTGTCTATACACAATAATAAAGTTGGAAACCAATGGTGAGTCATGGTATCATTCTGTAGATTTTGCAGCTGCATACAGTATTAATTCAATAATAAATACACAATAATAACAGYAAACTAAATATTAATTATTAACACATCGATACATCGAATTTTTATTTACAACGATAATAATAATATATACATATATAATTATATGATTCGTAATAACAACAATAACAATACGTATGTCAACATCGGTTAATTTTGTTGAGCATAATTGTCCAAAAAATAGGTAACCATGTTTCCTTTGCCTTTCACCTCGATGACACCGCGACAAGTCAACGGGTATCCTTTTAGCTTCAATATTTCGTACACTTCGTCGGTCACCTGAAAAATTGCATGGAGTAATCATATAGATAGATATAGGCGCAATTGAAAAAGATTTAGGAACTAGCCCCTTTCCCTCTATAAAAGAAAAATGTCAATAACTCCCCCTCCTCCCAAAAAATAAATTTATCTTAAGTTTATTCAATATTATTATAGTAGTGCAGTGCTCCAACCCTCTAAATTTCCAACACGATTTGCACCCACATGCTTGAAGCGAAATAATCACATGGGATTTCTAAAACGGTAAAATCGTCCATTAATTAGATTACAAATGGAATAAACATTTTTATCTGGCACTCAAATTCAATAATCCAGTCACATAAATTGATAAATATTGTTCAAAATAATTTTCCACGATTATTTAGCATTTGTAATGCCTTATATTAAGGACACGTGCTGAAAGATTACCAATGATAAATTAAAACATATATTTGAATAATCAAATTAATAATTTAATGAAAATTAATATAAATATAAACTTAACAGATTGCCTGAATTTATCGAAACGTATAGAAACTTAAAAATGAGCTTTATAC